TTCTGCCTTTCTGCATTGGATTGTGAGGTTTTTATTCCCTAGTTCATGGTCAAATTTTGTGGAAATGCCATGTACCATTGAGAAAAAAAGTATATTTCTTTCTATCCCCATTCAATTTTCTCCGGAGGTCTACCATATCTAACTTTTCTAAAATTCTATTCACCTCCTTAACAGTTTCCAGTCTTCTCAACCCACAAACACAAAAGACAACTCAGAAGGTCAATAGGAAAGGTCAGTCAGACTTAGGGGAGAGAGGAGCACAGGTCAGCCCTGGCCCTAGTGCAGCCCTGGGGCAGCAGCCACAGCAGCAGAAGCTGCTTCCAGAGCTCTCAGCCCACAAACAAGCAGCTGATTGATCAGAGGGAGATTGCAGGGATCTCTTTGCTGGCACTGAGGCAGGATTCTTTTGCTTCGCCCATGCTCTGCGGCACACTCCTGGGGAGAGGAGGAGCACTGGTGTGGCAGAGCTAGGGCGGTGATGGAGAGGGAATCTTCCAAGTTTCAAGGCAGAAAAAAGGGCTTATGGTTACTCACACACCAGAGCACAGACTAAGAAGGAAGTAAACACCTCCCCTTTGATCATACCACCTTGGAAGAACTGAAAATTTACAGGTCTTTAGAAGTGTCTCTCAAAACAGCTGCACAAAACCCCTGAAGCTTCGGGACAGTACACCTTCCACAGTGGAAGCAGAGCCCTACCTTAACGTAGAGTTAAAAAGTCAAGTAATTGGCTGGGAACTTGAGCAAACAGTGGAAAAAATTCAGACTACGGAATTTTACTTTGGTGACAAACAAGATCAAAATATACAATCAGAAGAAGACAACAAAGTCAAAGCTCCTATATCCAAAGCTTCCAAAATATGAGTTAGTTTCAGGCCATGGAAGAGCTCAAAAAGGATTTTGAAAAGCAAGCAAGAGAAGTAGAGGAAAAATTGGTAAGAGAAATGAGGGTGATATAAGAAAATCATGAAAAAAAGTCAACAGCTTGCTAAAGAAGACCCCCCAAAATACTGAGGAAAATAACACCTTAAAACATAGACTAAACCAAATGGCAACAGAGGTCCAAAAAGCCAATGAATGCCTTAAAAAGCAGAATTGGCCAAATGGAAAAGAAGTTCCAAAAGAAAATAATTCCTTAAAAATTAGAATGGAGCAACTGGAAACTAATGACTACGAACAATCAAGAAAGTATAAAACAAAACCAAAAGGATAAACAAATAGAAGACAATGTGAAATATCTCATTGGAAAAACAGTTTTGGAAAATAGATACAGGAGAGTTAATATAAAAATTATTGGACTTTCTGAAAGCCATGATCAAAAAAAAGAGCCTTGACATCATCTTTCAAGAAATTATCAAGGAAAACTGCCCTGATATTCTAGAACCAGGCGATAAAATAGAAATTGAAAGAATCCACCAATCATCTCCTGAAAGCTATCCCAAAAGGAAAACTCCTAGGAATATTATATCCAAATTCCAGAATTCCCAGGTCAAGGAGAAAATATTGCAAGCAGCCAGAAAGAAATAATTTAAGTAGTGTGGAAACACAATCAAAATAACACAAGAGTTAGCAGCTTCTACATTGAGGAATCAGAGGGCTTGGAATATGATATTCCAGAGGTCAAAGGAGCTAGGATTAAAACCAAGAATCACTTACCCTGCAAAACTGAGTATAATCCTTCAGGGGCAAAATGGACATTCAATAAAATAGAAAACTTTCAAGTATTCTTGATGAAAAGACCAGAGCTGAATAGAAAATTTGACTTTCAAATACAGGACTCCAGAAAAGCATGAAAGGGTAAACAAGAAAGATAAATCATAATGGACTTCTTAAAGTTGAACTGTTTACATTCCTACATTGAAAGTTGATATTTGTAACTCATGAGACCTTTCTCAGTATTAAGGTAGTTGGAGGGAATATATCTCTATGTATGTGTATATATATATGTATATCTTTGTGTGTGTGTGTGTGTGTGTGTGTGTGTGTATGTATGTGTATATATACACACACACACACACAGACACACACACACACACAGAAGGCACAGGGTGAGTTGAATATGAAGAGATGATATCTAAAAAAGAAAATTAAGGGGTGAAAGAGGATTGTACTGGGAGAAGGAGAAAGGGAGAGGTAGAATGGGGTAAATTATCTCACATAAAAGAGGCAAGAAAAAGCTTTTACACTGGAGGGGAAGAGGGTGGAGGTGAGAGGGAATGAGTGAATCTTACTCTCATTGGATTTGGCTTAGGGAGGGAATAACATACACAGTCAATTGGGTATGGAAATCTATCTTACCCTACAGGAAAACAGAAGGGAAGGGGATAAGGAGGAGAATGATAGAAGGGAGAGCAGATTGGGGGAGAAGGTAATCAGAAGCAAACACTTTTGAGGAGAGACAGGGTGAAAGGACAGAATAGAAAAAACAGGGGGTGGAATAGGATGGAGGGAAATATAGTTAGTCTTTCACAACATGACTATTATGGAAGTGTTTTGCATGACTACACATGTGTAACCCATATAAAATTGCTTGCCTTCTCAGTGAGAGTGGGTGGGGAGGGAGGAAGGGAGAGAATTTAGAACTCAAAGTTTTAAAAATGAATGTTAAAAATTGTTTTTTACATGCAACTGGGAAAGAAGATATACAGACAAAGGAGTATAGAAATCTATCCTGCCCTACAGGAAAATCAAAGGAGAAGAGGAGAAGAGAAGGGGGGAGGGCTGATAGAAGGGAGGGCAGAGTGGGGGGAAGGGGAATTCAGAATGCATGTCATCTTGGGGTGGGGGAAGGGGCAAGATGGGGAGAAAATTTGGAACTCAAAATCTTGTGGAAGTGAATGTTGAAAACTAAAAATGCATTAATTAAAAAATCAGAAAAAAAATCTCAATAAGGTTTGTCTCTTTTGAAAAATGTTTAATTGATGACTTTTGATTTATATTATATTCAAAACAGAAAGCACCCCTTCCCTATAACAAAATAGTAACAAATCCACGTGATACAGTGACTGACTGAGTGTGTACATAACATTCTGCATCCTGAGTAATCCACCTCTCTTCTGAAAGGAGGAAAGTATGTATCACTTTCTAATCTCTAGGACCAAAGTTGATCATTACAAGTGCTCAGAATTCAGCCTCCTTTCTATTTTAAAAATTAAAATTATTGTATTCATTGTATATATTATTCTTCTGGTACTGCTTACTTCTCTTTCATAATTTCCTATAGTTTTCTCCAAATTCCTCAGATTGGTTTATATTCACCACTACTGACAGTGTTGTTACATTATATTTCTCTATTGCAATTTGTTCAGTGATCCAGTGATTTTTCAGTTGTATATGACTCTTCATGACCCACCATTTGGGGTTTTGTTGGCAAAGATATTGGAGTAGGTTGCCATTTCATTCTCCAGGTTATTCTGCAGGTGAGGAAACTGAGGCCAACAGCGTTAAGTAACATTCCCATGGTCATGCAGCTAGTAAGTGTCTGAGGCTGGATTTGAACTCAAGAAAAGGAATCCTCCTGACTCCAAGACTGGCCCTCTATCCACTGTGCTACCTAGCAGCCTCCAATATTATATATTTATCACAGTTTGTTCATCCATTCCCCAAGTAACTATGAGGTAGTCAGTTTTTCTTTCACACATGGATAAACTGCCACCTAGAAAATGGTCAAACCCTTTGTATATGTATGTGTGTTTTCAACTTTTCTTTGTCCAGCAGAGATGAAAGGGAGGTTCATGAGATACCCATTTCTCCCCGCTTTCCTGCACATTTTTATACACTTCACCTTATGGACTCTTTTTGTGATAGTGTAAGTTCTTTCTTCTTCCTCCTTTTTTCCTCCTCATTTATCCCCATTTCACTTCTATTTTCTCTTCTTTTAAAAATCATCCAAATAGAACACCTGAAGAGACTTGGCTTGTCTTAAATAACTTTTCCTATAACCCTTGATGACAGGAATGTGAGAACACTTGTTTATTTTCCTCTATTTGAATGCAAACAATTCATCACAGAGTTTCTTCCAGTTTATAAAATAAATTTACATTTTTCTTGACTCCTTTATACACAATTCAAAGTTTCTACTCAGCTTTGCCTTTTCATGAGGAATTTTTGGTATTCCTATATCTCATTAAGCTCTCTATCTTCCTTCCTGTAGGATTAGGTTCAGTTTTCCCCTGGTTGTAAGCCGTTTTTGTTATCCCTGGAATACCACATTCCAAGCTCTCCTTTATTTTACTGTGGCAGCTGCCAAGAAATGTGTGTTTCTGAAGGAGGCTTCTTGGTGCCCTGACAGACCTTTTATAGGACACAAGGTATAGGGAATTCATGTTTAGATAGGGGCTGAACTAGATGACTTCTGAAGTCCTTTCCAGCTCTGCATTGAGATCTTAAACCTATTATTCATCCTCTAGTCAATAACATAATCTAATATCTCTAGCTAGATACCAATCAATTCCCAGCTTATCACTTCTGGGTCTAGGTCACTCCAAGAGTCCTGAGCTCACAGTGGTCAGTTCCTAAATTCAGTCCAGGCTCAGGCATAGCTCCACTTTGGCCTAGAGTATTTCACCTTTCACTATAGTTGGCACAGTCTTAGATCAATGGCTGAGCAGGCCTAGTATACTCTGGCTGGTTTACCAAAAGATGAATTGTAGAAGGGAACTGTATTCACCTAACAAATTATTTCCAGCTGTTTCCATAACTTACATCATTGTCAAAAAACAAAGATTTGCTACCACTTAAGATGTTCAAAAGATTGGTATCCTGAGGTAGAAGTCCTGGCTTTGCAGATGCCGAGTTATGTGACTTTGGGCAAGTCACTACTGCCAGCCTTAGTTTCTTCATCTGTATAATGGATGATTTTCCTACTTGCCATTTTTCTGTCTCCCTTGGCACCCAGGCTTAGAAGTTGCAGGGGAATTTCTTTTCATTAACTCCACAGAAGAACAGATACAGAATCAAGAATACACGAGACACATAAGATGGTGACAGGCACACAAATGTCTATCGCAATGGGGAGTTTATTTGGTTGAAACAATGAAGGTTGGGGCCCTCCCTAAGGCACTTATTTGTGAGCAGTAGGAATAAGACAATCCCAGGACTGCAAGCTCAGGATACCATGTCATATATCCCCCAAACTTGAGAATATGGGAATACAGAGCACCAGCATCCTGGATTCCTTGATGAGAGTGTTGTGGGGAGGAAGGGTCTGGCTCCTAGGGTTAAGCAGCTCCTCTTCTTCTGTAAGTGCTCAGAGTTTGCCTTTCACAGTGCTGGGCACTGGGCCCTGCCACTGTTCTCCTGGAAGGAGAAAACCAGGTACCTTCTACACACAGTCCTAAAGGAAGAGAGCATCTGGGGCCTAGGCAAAGTGTGCTATCCACTATTCTCTTTCCCTTACCCCTTTTCTTTCCCACAAGGACCGAGGGAATTCTGGAAAGGGGCCATTCTTGGTTTAAGGAGCAGATGATTTCTCCTTATCTTCTACAATATACATGGTTTCCTTACAACAGAGATTGCTTCCACTTTTTAAGACAGAGCCTGTTCCCATTTGAAGTGTCCAGTACAAGGCTCTACCTCTTGGAAACTTAATGAAAATTTATTGCTCAAGAATTCCTGCTACCTCTAACATCTTCCTCAGTGGTAAGTTTGGCAGGTAGGCAGGGCTGTGGGGCAAGAACTATCACAGCAATGGTAAGGGGAAAGTATCTCCAACTCACCTAGCAGATGAGCCAGCAGTTCCATCCTGTCAGAGTCAAAGAGCATGTCAAACTGGTTATCCAAATGGACCACTATGATGGGAAGCCCAAAGGTCTGGAGAAAGAGTGATCATAGTACAATACAGAAAAGACAAGGAAGAGGACAGTGGAAGGTGGGAGTCAACGTTGACTTAAGATTGGTGAAGGGAAGTAGGGCTAGGGGGCCCAGTATCAATGCAGATGGCAAAGGATCACACAGGAGATAGGCAGGAGAGTCTCTGACTCTCTGTCTCTTAACATTTGTCCCTTTCTATCACCTCCCTTTTATCCTCATCTATTTCCTTCATTTCCTTTCTCACCATGAGTTTAAAGTGGCTGAGACTGGTGGGAAGTGGCAAAGTGTTGTGTTGGGAGGTAGGCCTATGAGAAGAAACTTGAAGACACATTAGAGCTGCTTCAAGGACCATGGGCTGAGTGTTCAGGCAAGTGGTGGGGGGAGGGAAGGGCCCCTCATCCCTTAACTGCAGGCTGCTTCTGTCGTCTCTTTTAGACTGCTCTTCACTTTGTCAGTAAACTCCTAGGTTGTTCTTTAGAAAGTTCTGCTTTCTCTGCAGCCTATGGAAGTGAGGTAGGCAACAGACCACAGTTGAGTTAGGGTGGGAGGGTTAACTTCTAGATCTCAACTCCTCCCGGTTAGTGACCTCAGGAGTAAACAGTATATATTTCTGACTTTGTCTATGAAGATTGCTAACATCATGACTATTACTTTGACCTTGACTTTGGATCTTCATGGGACTTAAGAGAACATCTAGTCCAACTCAGTCTTTTGACAGATAGCAAAACTAAGACCCAGAAATGGAAAGTAATTTGCACAAGGCCAAAGACTTTGTCACAAAGGTCTCCTAACTCCTAGTTAAGGATCATTTTGTCTAATATTCTGTTTATGCATTTATTTACTTATTTTCTAATATTCTTTGCTGTCCCCTTCTTTGCTCTCTTTTAGTCTGAGTCCTCAAACTTTAGAGGAATGACTTTTCAATTTCCTGAAGTCTTGAGATAATAAAGGTGCTGAGTGGAACATGGAGCAAGGGAGGGGCTACATTCACTTTCCTATGGGGAATCTTGAAAACCTTAGAGAAGAGGGCAAGGTAATGAGGCACAGAAGCAACTGACCTGGTCTATAAAGCCTGGTCTATAAAGCCAGGTAGCCCTTGCTATACAGTCCCTGATCCTTTCTACTCTAAGCCCAGAGCTATCAAGAAATGATCAAGACACATGCTTAACAATGCCTAATATTAGCAAATGGTAACAGTGGTCAAATGAGAAGGATGCTCTACTAGGAATGAGTTCACTGCATTGGAATCCTGCTTCTCCCACTTACTAGCTATGGAACTCAGGCCAAGGCATTTGACTGCGCAGAACCACAGTTCCCTCATCTGAAAATGGGGATAACATTCGTGGAATTGTTTTTGAGGAAAGTGCTTGTAAACCTTAAAGCTCTATATACCTTCGAGTTTGACTCAGTCTGATTAAGGATTGGCTTCTTATTTCACTTCAATGAACACAATGTGTTGTTTAGGCTTGCCTTATGAAAGCTTGCATTCTCCTCTTTATGGCCAAATAAAGATTACTGTTTTGAGTTATTCTTGTTTGTCTTTCAGTTCAGGAAATAACACAAATTTTAGCCCTTTGGTTTCTTGTGGTATCACCTCCAGCTTTTTCATGTACCAGGAAGGTTCTTAGAACTCCTAACACAACGAGCTTCCCCTCCTGTAAGGTACTGCTGGATGTCCTCTCTCTCCTTGTCCGACTGTTCCTATACACTCCACTGCCTTTCTCCCCTTTTTTTACTACTGTCATTGTTGTTGTTTGTCCTTCAGTGTCACAGGGAAGGTGATGCCTTGACTTGCAAGCAAATTGGATTTCAGGGAGGCAGGACTGTGCAAAGTCACTGTCTCCTCCAGAGCCAGATCAGGATGGCTGGAGATGGCCCTGGATGCAATGGGAGACCTTGGCCTTTTTAAGCTAAGGGCTTTCCCAGGTCTCAGTTTGTCTGACTCAATACCCATTCTGTAATTAAGGCTAGGTAAGAAATGAAGCAAAAAGTGGCCTTTTTCACTTAGTCAAAAAACAAACAAACAAAATCAATCTGGGAGGGGAAGACCCTCAGGGTTCCTGGCCAGAACAGAAACAATTGCTATTTACATTCACTCTGAGCCAATAAGACCCAAACAATGACCAGCTGAGGCTTGGTTTGGGGCCCATGATTGGCCAGTCAGTGAGAATCTGACCACTGAGGTGTCTTTTCAGATACATTCTAAGTGTGATCTCTTCCTGTTTCACCAGACAGAGATTTTGCTGCCCACGCCCTTCTGCTCCCTATCTGTACCTTGATTCCTGGAGACCTTATTGCCCCAGAGCACAGTGCTATGTTTCACTCAAGAATGATGTTCATTTGTAATGATTATGATGATAACTAACATTTACATAGCGCTTACTATGTATCAAGTGCTTTACCTTATTACCTCATTTGATCCTTACAACAACTCTGGGAGGCAGATGCTTATTGGTCTGCCCACTTTACAGATGAGGAAATTGAGGCAAACATAGGATAAGTGACTTGCCCAGGGTCACTTAGATAGTAAATGTCTGAGGCCAAATTTGAACTCTGGTCCTGGTACTCTATCTACTGTGCCACTTAGCTGCCTCTCAGATTTCAGTTAAGGGAAAAAAGGATAGAGCTGCGATACTCACAGCCAAGATGCTCTGGGGTTCGGTGATATCTTCATCCTAGGCATAAAGAAGAGAATACAGTTGGGGAAGGGAGATAAGTCCTGCCTGGACAGGTGACACAGGGGAGTTATATGGCTGTGGACATAGGGGCAGGGAAAATATTGCTGCTAATGTAGCTCAATCTGATGGACTACTATAAGGGCAAATAAAGGAATCCAGTCTCTTTTTTGATAGAGTAGCCGACTCCATGTAGAGGACAGCGGACTTTAGAAAGTCTAATCCGGGAGTTAGATTTCTGAATAAATTATGGTATATAAATTTAAAGGAAAACTAGTGTTTGTAAGAAATGAGCAAAAAGATGGTTTAAAAAGCAACATGGAATGATTTCTAGGAACTTAAGCAGAATGAAGTAAGGAGAACCATAAGAATTACTTATATTTAAAAATGAAAAATTCTGATATTTAATAACTCTGATGAACTTAATATGTTTTTCCCTAATTGCAGAGGACTGATAGAGAAGAGTGTTGCATACTTTATGAAAAAAGATGATTAATCTTTACAATACGAAATGCATTTTTTAGACATGACCAACATGAGAATTTATTTAACTGTATTTATATAATGAAAGAGTTCTATAATTTTTTCTTTCTTCTTTCTTTTTCAATGGATGGGGGTAGATAGTAGGGAGGGAAAAAAGTATGGTTGATAATTGTTTTGTAAAATAAACTCTGAACAAGGCAATGACCAACCTGAGTACTGACAGTACAGAATAATGTCTACACTTGTAGCCAGAGAGGTGATGGACTGAGGGTGCAGAATGTCACATGTGTTTTTTGGATAATTGCCACTCCAGGAATTTGTTTTGCTTGACTATGCTTGTTTGTTATAAGGGGTTTTATTTATTTATTTATCTCTCTAGTAAGACAGGGAGAAAAGTGGGAAAGAAAATAGATTTTTGACAATTGAAAAAAAATTTAAAAAAAGAAGCTCCCTCGTGACCAGACACACATCCACAACTCTCGAGACACTCTCTCTAACATCTCAGGGTTCTCCAGCTTGACAGCAGTAAGGAATTGCATGGCAGTCCGGCTCCCTGAGGGAAAGAAGCCAGAGATGGGAGAGAAGGGAACAACAACAACAACAACAACAACAACAACAACAACTACACTAACAATTACCTGGATTTATACATCACTCTAAGATATCCAAAGTGCATTATTTCACTGGAACCTCACACGAGGTAGGTATACTGGGTATTACCATCCCCATTTTACAGATGAAGAAACTGAGGCTTAGAATAGTCAAGTGATTTGCCCATGGTCACATGCCTAGCACATACTAAGGGGAAGGATCTGAACCTAGGTTTCACTGGATTCTCAGTTTAGAACCAGTTCTGGTATTATATAGTTTCTTCTATTGCATAGAGATAGATGGATCTCTGTGGCTTCTCCACTGACTGCACACCCTCTTCCTCTGGGTCCTCCTGCCCCCAAATCAATTTTTCCTATTTTCCCCCATCCATTATATGCCTAAACTTCCATTTCCCCCATTTCCTCCGTATTTTCCTACAATTCCTTATTGACATAGTCCTGATTGTCCAGATCATTTTGTCTATATCCTTCAGTAGAACCTAGAATCCTTTTGCTCAACTTTAGTAACCCCAGACTCTCATCTCACCCAATATTTCTTCATCTTAGCTTCCCTGCTCTGCTATGCCTTCCTCCCCTTTTCTTCACTCTCCCACACCCACCTTTTTCTAATATGACAGAGAGGAAATCCTTGGGTGCCTGGATGGGAACCTGGTAAAACTTCCTTAGGTGCTGGAGGTCCATGAACATGTATTTGCCCTTTTGGGGTAGCAAAGCAGGTGGTCTGTTCCCTGTGGGTGAGTCATTCAATTCATTTCTGTAAACATTTATTAAATACCTACTAAATACAAGGCAATGCGCTTCGATATGGAAGTACAAAGGCACAAAGGAGGTACAAGGTCAAAACGAATATGTTTCCTGACCTCAAGGAATTTGTTTTCTTAGGTCACTGAGTAATTTGGTGAGAAAACTCCTTAAATCCAATAGGTTGGGGATTTAGAAGGAAACAAGGGAGATACTTGATGACAGCAATGTAAGGACTCACTTGGAGCCAGCTCTTTTGTAAAACCCCTCATTGGGCACTCATTCTCTTCCATGGGATACTTCTCTACCACTGTTCTTCATGATCCCTGCGATGAAGCTTGGGCACAGATGAAGGTTGATGTTCCAGATGTTCTAATATCAACACAGGACCTGCCAGGGATATAACAATGATTTTGGACCCACTGTGTGTAATCATTCAGGGCTGTGCAGTGGGTAGTGGTGGAGTCCATAGTTGTGAATTTTTCTGGGTCACTGACAACTGGGCAGGAGATCAAGGTTGAGGAAATCTGTTGGCTCAGGTTGGGATCATTTGTCTAGCTGGGGCTGTGGGATCTTATCCCAGCTGTCAGGGGGCTGGGAAACAATCTCCCCACAGGAGTCAGGGGCTGACTTACACCTCACCAGTCTTCAGGGCTGGAGTACCCAAGAGGTTAGTTCAGTTTGGGATCAAAATCCCTTTCCTCTAACGATTTTTCCCTCCTCCCCAGCGTGGTAAAAATAGTGGTGGGGTGAAAGAAGGCAGAACCTGAGTGTCTGGGTAAGAAAGTTGAGACAAAGAATTGTTGTGGAGAGTGTTGAGGGATCCTAATTTCTGCTAGTGGAATTTTCTTTTATCTTTTTCTTTCTGTAGAGCAGGAGAAATAAACTAGGTCCATCTGATTCCCAGGGGCAGCGCTCATCCAGTAACCTTCAGCACTGATCCGCCTTCCCCAGTCTCCCAATCACCAACCCAGCTGCCCTAGTAGCAGGAAGTTGGCCATTTTTACCTTTGCCCCAGTGCCCTCCCAAATGTCCTAAGCGTCAGGCCCCCTCTGCAAATGCCCTATCTACCTGTGGGTGTCGGTTCCTGCAGTGGGACCCCCACAGCCTCCCTGAATCAGTCACCTCAAAGCCCAGACAGGAATATGGGGAGGGCAAGCTCCAGCTTCCTAGGCAAGCTCGTCATGGTCTCGGTCCTGGGGAGAAGTGGGCCGGCGCTGCTGCAGCTGTGACTGGCTCTTTTTTTTTTCTTTTTTCTTTTTTTGCAAAGGTGCTTTCTGTTTCTCCTTAAACTCAATAGGCTCTGGGCGGGATCCGCCCCAGCAGAGCTGTAGTGGTCGGGAGAGGGGGAGGGTGCTCAAGCCTGGGGGCTGAGGCCTTGGAGGAGGAGCCACGTTGGTCCTTTGCTGGGCTCTTGCTGCCTCCGTGTGGCCACCCCGGGTGCCACTATGCGAAGTTTACCAGAAGGCCAGATAGATGTGCTTCTGCAGTTTGGAGGAAGCATCTGTGCATACTGCCCGCTGGACACTGGGGGGAGCTGCCTCTCAGCTCTGTGATGGAGCCCAGGGAGATTGTTTACAGTGGACTTGACAGCAACTCTCTTCCTTGTATGTCAGCAAAGGTCTGTTAAGTCTTACAATATTCAAGGCATTTTACAAAGCCTTGGGGGAGCAACAGGGATTTGTTTCAAATGCCACTCTTTAAGGTGCTCAGAATGTAATGAGCAGAAGAAAAAGCAGAAACATAATTTTATAGGACAAAGAGTGAGATAAGTGCAAAGGAGAAGAGCAGTTTAAGTGTTACAGGGAATCAATCAAGATTTATGAAGCACCTACTATGTACCAGGCACTGTGAAGTGCTGAAGATATAAAAAGAGGCAACAAAGAGTCCCTGCCCTCAAAAAGCTTATAATCTAATCTAATATGGAAGAGAGAGAATTTTTTCTTCATGTGGAGGGAATTTTAGGGGAAATTTCCTACAGCAGTTGGCCTATAATTTGGGCCTTGAAGAAAGAATGAGACTTCAAAATATCAAGATTGGAAACAGCAGATGGCAGGTGTGAAAAGGGCACTGAGTCCATTTTAGGCATGACAGCCTGGGGAGAAAGGCAGGGAGATGAGAGGAAGCAGGATGAAAATGGAGAGCAATCCAAAGCAATCTTTACAGAAATAGAGACCTAGATAAATGGAGAAATATCAATTGCTCGTGGTTAAGCCAAGTCAATAAGATAAAAATGATAATGCTACCTAAATTAATTAACTTATTCAGCCCCATGCCATATTACCAAAAAGATTATAGTGTTAGAAAAAATCAAAACGAAATAGAAGGAACAAAAGATCAAGGATCTCATGAGAAATAATGAAAAAAAAAGAGAGAGAATGGAGGTCTAGCAGTACCATACCTGAAACTACACTACAAAGAAATGATCATCAACATGATTTGGTACTGGTTTAAAAATAGGTTGATCATTGAAGTAGATTATGTGCACAACATACAAAAGAAAGAGAACACAATAACATAAGAATGAGTAAACCGAAAGACACGTGCTACTGGAGTCAGAACTCACTATTAGATAGAAAGTGCTGGGAAAACTGGAAAGCAGTCTGGCAGAAAGTAGGTGTAGACCAGCACCTCATCACCATATGCCAAGATAAACTCCAGATAGATACATGACTTGGATCGAAAGGATAATATAATAAACAGATTAGAAGAACAAGGAGGAAATTACTTTTCAAAGCTATGGGTAGAGCAGTTCATGACCAAACAGGGAATAGAGAGGATCACGGAAGATAAAATGAATAATTTTGACCACATGAAATTAAATTTTTACTTTATTTTTAGGCAATTAGGGTTAAGTGATTTGCCCAGGGTCATACAGCTAGTAAGAGTCGTGTTTGGTCTGAAGCCAAATTTGAACTCAGGTCCGCCTAACTTCAGGGCCAGTGTTCTATCCACTGCGCTACCTAGTTGCCCCCATGAAAAATTTTTTTTTGACCAAACCAATGCGCTTAAATTTTAAGGGGAGCAGGTAAATGGGAAAAAAAGTCTTTGTAGAAAGTTTCTCTGATAAGGGCCTCATTTCCCAAGATATATAAATGGACATATTCAAATGACTAGAATAATAGCCATTCCTCAATTGATAAGTGGTCAAAAGATATGAATAGCCAATTTTCTAGAGAAGAAAACCAAATCATAAAGAGTCATATGACGCACGATTCACGTCACTAATTATTAAATAAATTAATGCTTTCTGAGGTTCTACTTCTCATTCCTCAAATGGAGAAATATGACAAAAAAGAAAAATGACAAGTGTTATATGGGCTTTAGGAAAGTAGGCACATTGCTATTTTGTTGATGTAGCTATGAATTAGTCTATGCATTTTGAAACACAATTTCGAACTCTGTCCCCAAAATTATTAAACTATATATACGCTATGACCCAGCAATATTACTAGTAGGCCTAGACTCCAAAGAGATCAGAAAAAGTAGAAAAGGACCACACATAAAATAATATTTATAACTTTTCTTTTTGTAGTGCTAAAGAAATAGAAGCAAAAAGGATGTCTACCAATTGGGGGAATGGCTGAACAAATTACAGTATGTTAATGTAATGGAATACTATTGTGCCCTAAGAAATGATGCAATGGACTGTTTCCAAAAATGAACTGGGAGAAATTGAATTGAAACAGATTGAGATGAACAGAAACAGAACAATTTTGACAGTAACAGCAACATCATAAAGATGGCCTTGAAAGACTTAAGAACTCTGATCAATACAGTTTCCAATTATGATTCCAAAGGATCAGTGATGAAACATGCTACCCACTTCTTGACTGGGACATGATAGATTCAGGGTGCAGAATGGGTCGTATATTTTTGGACTTGGCTGGTGCAGGAATTGGTTTTGTTTGGTTCTGTGTATTTGTTATAAGGATTTTGTTTTTCTTTTTTCTTTCTTTTTTTTCCAATGGAGCTGGAGGTGAGAGGGACAGAAAATAGATTTTTTAACTGAAAAAAACTTTAAAAATTCCAGTATGCCTAGAATTTCTTATAAGTGAAATGGAATAATATGCAACAGGTAGGTTGGAATAAGTGTGTCCTTTGGAGTGTAAGGTATGAAACTATATGCTTCGTACCTTTCAAAGGAGCCTAGCATAGTGCATTGTACATGTATATGTATTTCTATGCATATATGTACATACATATACATGTATAATGTTTTACATCCATAGAATTCTATATGTATTTTTCCTATATTTACGTATAACTTTGTTGAATTACTGACTTGCCCAGGGTCGCACAGCTAGTAAATGTCAAGTGTTTGGTCTAAGGCTGGATTTGAACCCAGGTCCTCCTGACTTCAGGGTCAGTGCTTTATCCACTGTGCTACCTAGCTGCCCCTGAATTACTGATTGAGATTAGGTGGGGGTGTGGGGAGAAAGAATGACAAATCCTATCCCTTGAGCCTTGAATTTTAGTAGCTGGGATGTGGGAAACAAGACTGCTGCAGTGACTCTCTACTTCTGAGATCATAATCACAATCAATTTCACAATGAATTTAGTTAATTCAGTATAACTAATCAAGAAAGTCCCTTTGTAAAGATTATTTTTATCTTCCTTTCAAGGTAAAACAGTTTCATCAAAAAATCAGGCCTCTGTGTTCTCTTTCTTTTTACATTCTCTAGCTTCTCTAAAGCCATGATAGAAAAATAATATCTTCTGCACATAGTTCACACTTAATAAATGCTTTTCCATTCCATTCCTCATTTCTCAAACAAAAACTTAAAAGTCTTCCCAAACTCACAATCAAAACTGCCATTCCCACAACATTTAATTTGACTCTTAAAGCTATAGTAACCATAATTATAGCCCTTATAGGTAAAGCTTTTGAAATTGGAGTTATAATTCCCATAAACCAAATCATTCAGCCACCTGTATTTTTTTCTATGATCAAATGTTGAAAGATATGGAAAATTTTCAGCTTATGAATGTTAGTAGGCTTCATTGCTTTCTAGGATTATAGGTATTCAGTGTAAAGACCAAAGAAACCTCTAGGTTAGAGGTTCTTAACCGTGTTTATGTCATGGACTCCATTGGCAGTCTGGTTATGAAGAGGTCTAGAGGTTTTGGGGTGCTAGGAACCCCTAAATTGCAGTACTTGGCCCTGGCTGAAAGAATTCAACTGAAATTTTCAGCCAAAGGAAAAGTTTATTAGTGATAAAACACATAGGCCAGGTGATGCCCGTAAGGAGGAGCTGGCATGAGAAAGTCTCAGCCTTTTGGGCATGAGATTCTCAGCCCCAAATGAGGGCCAGGGTAGATCTTATATACTAAAGTGACTTTGGGTGACCAGGGGAGGGTCTGGGAAAAGGGTGTGGGTGAGAATTCTGATTGGAAGGTGTGAGAGATTGAGTAGACAATGAGAATAGATGCTGAGATCAAAAAGGTGGGGCTGGGGTTTCAAAGGAAGATAAGGGGCTGGGGCCTGTAGACAAATAGGAATCAGATTCCCTTTGGGGCCAAGGGTGGAAGATCTCAGCTTGGGCCACACCCCATCACTATCCCCTCAAACAAATTTGACCCAAATTCTTTTGGGGAAAAGGGCGACAGTCTCAGCTTCTGAAACTGCTTCCTGTTGGCAAGGGGTGTAGAGCTGTCCCTGCCTCTCAGGGTCCTGTTTGAGGGGTCAAACTTCAAAAACATGGCTGATGCTAGGTTCAGTGGGCCAGAATCGTCAGGTTGGTATGCAGCATGAGAAGTCATCTGGAATCTGATGGCTCCGACCCCAGAGGAAAGGAATCTGGCAAGGATATTTAGTAAAGAAGGACCAACCAAACACAAGAGAAATATGATCAGTAGTGGAATGAGAATTGGAACCAGTATAGAAAGAAGCCAGGGTTCCCAGAAAAAAGATTTGAGCACTAAAGTTATTGTGAATTTCTTGCATCCAACTAGCCTTTTCCGAAATATGAGCAGTGCAGAACTCTATCTGCCCGGAGTTGTTATACGTGCAACAAAATGTGTTTGCACATGCACTCCCACTGGAGGCAAGCAAGTAGGTTAGGGCTATTCTATTATCTAGAACTACTTTTGCTAAGGAATCTAAAGATTGCTGGATTTCCTGGAGACCATAAGCTGTCACATTTGCCAACTAGTAAATAGTCTCTGTAAGGTTAGAGAGAATATGTTTGTGTTGTAAGTCATAAAGTAGTATGCTCCCTTTTTAAGAGACCAGAGGACAGTTCCCCAAAATCCATGTTTTATCCTTAACTTAGAGACTGTGAGCTGTTTGGCATTGAAAATGGAGAAGAGGGTGCTAAAAATCTGAGGGTGCACACCCCAAAGTCTTTGTAGGGTGTCAAACTTGGGTGGCCAAGACAGTAGTTCTGGTGTCTTGCCATGTGTTGGCACTTCGTTTCTACCTCTTCCCCGAAATTCTTGTCACTAGTGCTATCTGCACAGGTAGTTCAGGTCAAAAGATCAGTAGAAATCCCTCCCTCCACAGGGGTATTAACTTGTGTAGTGGCCATGCAGCTTGTCTCCCAAGTGAGGGAATATTCCCCTGAGGAGAAGCAAGATGTGG